TCTCTTAAACAAAGACAAAGAGCTAGATCAAACCAAACATTATCATTTATGACAATAAATCTATGCCGAGATGTTCACTCACCGGCAACTTTTATTTTGAACTCGGAGTCCAAGAGCAGATTTTCCGCTTTAAGGTCTCGATGAACCACACCGGAATTGTGACAAAAATCGATGGCACAAACAATCTGCCANNNACGCGCCTCCTTCTCACTGAATGCACGAGAAATACTGATGTGGTCTGATTTGATAAAGAGATCATAAAAATTGGAGATAGAAAGCGACGAGACTCATGAGAATCACTGTACTAATATGGTTTACAAGATAACTCAATAAAAAGGAATGGCATGAGCTAATGGGATGCGGAATTTGTTAGGATGAGCGAAATCACACACACACACACACACACACACACACACACACACACATGGTTCCACACTCAGTTCGATCGGTCGACCTTGGAGTGGTGTTGTACAACGGATCTACGGTAGCTATCAATATGCCGTTGATAAAAAGTTGGATTTCTTGTTATCCACTTGTTCACAACACACGAATGAAATTAAGCTAAAATACAGTTGGAGACAGATATGTCACCTAGGGTTTATACCTCCCAGTGTGAGCTTGTAATATATACGCATTAAATACGCGTAGCACCCTGGGTCAGTGTAGAACAGACTTCGTGGGACCAGATAACAATCACATGTCAAAACTGTTCATCACAGGGAGACCCGAACACACCTGGTCGTTAGTGTAAGAGCTGGGGAGTGCGAACACAGGTATCCAAAATAACGATGGAAACCGACCACAACCTCATGTGAAAATAATGATTAGAAATTTAAAAACAACAGTAGAACACGAAACTCGACCAGCGCGCATACACCTCGGTCAGCGTAAGATTTAGTTTCTAACTTACTTCACAAAGCTAGAATGTGAAACAATCAAAGTTGATGAATTAAAAGCAAACAGTACAGAAATACATGACAACTGTATGATAATAGCAATACGACTGGATCACGCAAAAGAACGTAATTGACTGCTTTTTTCAACGGTCAAAAATGAACAAGAGCTCTTACAGCAAATTACCGTGTTCAAAATGGTAACTACGGGAAATGCGCATCTACCGTCGGATCGTTCCACTAATTACCTCGTGTGCTTGTAGGAACTCAGAAAAGTGTTTCCAAATGAAACATTTTATTGAATGTATAATAAGTTAACGATAATCTTACCGTTATCTGTAGTAAATAACTCTCCTCGTATTGGTGCCGTCTTGTGGATTTATAGCAATGGTATACATGAGGGAAAAACCCAGATAAATAGATTACGAATTTCAATTCACTTTGAAACAAGCTCACATGCAATCGTCAACTGTAAAGCATATTTTAAACTTCAGTCCTTGATCATTTTTTGTTCGCTTTTGCATATCGTTACAGAAACTTCTTTGATTATAATTACAATCGTCAAGTGCTGATTTACTTACGACGCAATCCAAAAGCAAACTTTTTAATTTGAATTTGAATGACTATGACAAATGAACAACTTTGAACTGGTGCTCGCATTTCATGAGTGCACTCAATGAGCGAAAAAGGACATCATATGCTTTAAAAAATCACGCAATATTTCGATGTGCGCACGTAACCATCAGGAAAATGAGTTCGAATGTATAAACTTGGACGGCGCATCGTCACATAACACATAAAATGTCTCCATTATCATGATGTGGTGTGATGGCTTGGGCACCTCGGTGACCCAACGAATTACACAGCACAGACGTTATCAAGTCAAAACACCTAAGTATGGTTGAAAGATCAGAGAATGGAGCACAGACGCGGGATAGTTTCCTAACCCTCAGTTTAGAGATTCGATATGCGTTGATAAAAACGATCCAAATTTATGAGCTCACACAACAACTAATCCTCTGCCTAATGAACAGGTTGTTGTCAAAACTAAAAGCTTCGACTGAGAACTCTAATATAGTGTTTAAAGCCCGTATCATTAACCACACATCTGGGTCCAATCAATACACGAGCTCCAAGAGAAAAAAGGAGATTCCTATTAGATTGCGTCAAATGGAAATGGGATCCCATGAAGAAATAAGCTCACCTCCACTGGATCAGATACATGGGCTCCGCATTTGTCCAATAATTTATGCTCAATTATTTTTCATTAGGTCACCCTTCGTAGCCCACACCAAAGTCTGCATTATTCATCTAGTCGCCGTTGTGGGAGGGGTGATTTCCTTACAGATATTTCAAACTGACCGGTGACATTTTTTGACACGATCGTCAAGAATACAACGATAGAAGCTAATAATTAGGCGAAACAACTGTTTTTCAGCAATTCATTCTCACTCCGTTTACAAATCACACAGTTACACACAACACTAATCATGGTTAAGAGTTTGTCACGGCCAACTTGCTTTTGTCATATAATTGGTTTAACTAGGTCAGGGTGACTAGACGGCGGAAACAATCGGGCCTGATCGATCACGAATCATAGAAGTTGGAGAGACTGAACCAAACGATTTTGGGCGCAGAGGTCGGGGGTCAACTTTCTTATCCCGATCGTCTCGTTGTTGCGCACTGGAACGGATTGAGGAAGAATTGCTGAAAAACGATTGTTTCGCCAAATTGTGTTTGTTGTCCAATAATTAATACTAGGGTATGTTTCAGACATTGGTCCAAGTTAAACAAACCGGTTTTCCGAGGTCATACAAAGCGCCCGATATCAGACCGTAGCACCGACGGTTGGAGAAGAGATGATTGCTGGTAGCCTTTAATTTTCTCGGCTACTCAGGTCAATAGTAAATAGTTAGTGAAAAAGCGTAGTNCCGAATATCTATTTAGGGTACAACTAACCCTGATCGGTGGGTGCTGAACCGAGCTGTAGGCAGATTTGCATCGCTACGCTTGGACCGCGAGGCAACCGACAGTGAACAGCTGGAGGCTGCCAGCCAGGTAGATGCGCGCTAACACATAATTGGTCCACTTACCGAAGACTTCTCCTTTGCTTGCGTACTCCGTAACCATGAATATGCTAGATTCGGTTTCCATCACATGGTACAGACGAACGATATGTGGATGTTGACAACGTTTCATTGCTTCCAACTCGCGGGAGATCTTGTTCAAATTGTTCGGCCCGATCAATTCTTTGTTCATTATTTTGATGGCAACCTATGTTAGGCAGGGAAAATACGATCAACCCAGTAACATCATAAAGATAAAAAAACACGAGAAAGATGACAGATTTCAGCACAACTCTATCCACTCTTTATCGGGACACTAAACCTT